TATTGCGTATTTGTAATTATTTACCAATAACTAGTAAGTACAAGTACGTCTTTAATTACATTTATTTACTTTCCGGGTGGCAAAAGGTGGACGAAAGTTTTTATATTCGTTCCTCCAGTCAAACATGGCTGCTAGGGTGTAGCTACACAAATTGAACCAATTTTATGGCTAGAGTATAATCAGAAGAATGACATGTTATCGAAGCTGAATGGCTCAGTCCATTCTACAGGCGAGCGAAACTAAAAATTGCGATAGTAACAGTTTTTTTCACTATTAAAACAGGACATTTTTTTCTTTACAAGAAAACAAAACTGCTTATAAAAGTAAACAATGGCCTGTCAAACTTGTATTGTTATAGCAAGTGGATTTTTGTTATATAGCTTTGCCCGCTCGTTATTCTGTGATAAAATATGAAAAAATATGAATATTGGCACAGTACACCTAATCCAATTTAAACCTAAACAAATGTAAAAAAAAGTAACAACTAACAGATGTTTTCAAATGTTAAATCTACCTGTTTTTAATGGGATTAAATGTACTAGAGATTAAAACCTACATTGCACACAGGAAGAAAAAAGAAGATGATGTTCCTCAGACTGCTTTAGAAGGTCTAGGTTGTTGTTTTTTAGCAAACTTCAAAATACATGCACCCGAATACCGATTATTCACAAATAAGCTATAATATCAACTTCATCTAAGCCTCTCCTTTTAATTTGCCAAGTACTCATATGAGTAGCAGAGCTTTTAAGCATATTAGTAGCAGAGCTTTCAAGCATAAACTATTATTTAAGGATATATTAACAATAAGATTATTCGCATATCGCACAGGGTCCCGAGAACTGAAATGTGAAAATGTCAACTAATTAATCGATAAAGTATGTAACATCATAATAATGGGTTCCCAGTGATCTGTAAAGTCAAATGATATTGACAGATTATAAGACACGCCCTCAACTATAAAAGTATGTGGCACTTCACGTGTCTCTAGTTTTGTTCAACATGGAAACGTACTACATATTGCTGATTGATTGTACTTATCAATAGGACTCAGGTCCAATCCGTTCCAATAAAAGTCGTGATTTCCCGGATAGTAAAAATACAACGTCTTTATAACGTGTACCTTTACGGCACGTTCGGAAGAGCAATTGACATTTTAATTAAAAAAATAGTCTCTTTGTTCGAATTCGTTAGTTTGTTAGATGAAATATTTAAAATTGCATTAACACCTAGTGAGGTACTGTCCTCCAACCAAATAACATGTACTACATTATCACATCTCACTGTTGTTACGCATGCTGTGATTGGTTGAGACTCGGTCACATTACATTAAATAAAACTGGATATCACATAGTATATTAACGTCCCAATCAATAACATATACTACACTATAACATGCTGAAATTGTGGACGGATGATAAAAATAACTGTAGAATATATTAACTAATTTGTACCTCGCCTGCCGCAAATTTAGGGAACTGTTGTGAATATGCGTAGTCAATTTGTTGCATATTCGAGTTGTCGATACTTTGATCTCATATATACCAGGTTACGGCGTTGTGTCGTCACAGGAAGCGCTGTCCCAGCACAGACCTGTGTCATATGACGCTTTGATAGCCGATTTTGGCTAAAATAGCGCTCCGCCGCCTCTTTACTCTAGTGCTTTTTACAGTTTAAGTTGCCTTTTAATCACGTATTTTAGTGAAATATTGTTTAGCGAGTGAAATATTAATGTCATAAATAATTCAGCTTGTAAATAACATAAACTAACACATGATAACGATAATCGAATTTGTTTTTGAAGTTCGAAAGTACTTGCGTAATTTCCGGTTCCACTAGTTCGAAAATAGACGTCCTTGA